AAATCAATGGTCTGGCCTCTCACTTAAGTTACTAAGGGCATTTGGTGGGGACAGGAACCAGACTTGATTCATCTAGTTAACCAACAAGGAATTTTGAGCATCTCTGAAAAATTCAAACAGAAAAACTAAACTTCAGTTACATGGGAATTCAGAAACCTATCCCATGAAGAAGAGGCTAGAAGAGTTGACATGATTTACTCAAGATGTAAGAAAATGAAGAAAAGTTCCAGCATTTAGATGGGAGGATTTTAAGACAGGGTTGTATTGATCGTCCTTTCTCAGAAAGACAGTCTTGTAAGCATTAGGCTCTACTCTCCTTTTGTTCAGAGGACTTACACCACTGGCAGGAAGCACTGTAGGACATTGAGAATTCCTTGATTGTCATAATAATAAACCACTGCAACTGGTTAGTGAGGAAATCTATGCAGTGTTTTCATTTCGTTTTGGTTTTTTTCTTTCTTTCTAAAAATTGTCTAGAGACAATAAACAACTTTCTGCCTGGAGTAATTAGAACATTTTGGTGGGAGAGGCGCCTGGGTGGCTCAGTTGGTTAAGCATCTGCCTTCTCAGGTCATGATCTCAGGATCTTGGGACTGAGTCCTGCATCAGGCTCCTTGCTCAGCTGCGAGTCTGCTTCTCCCTTTGTGATCTCTCTTGCTTTTGCTCTTTCTCAAATAAATAAAATCTTAAAAAAAAAAAAAAGGAAAAGAACACTTTGGAGGGAATGAAGCTAGTTGAGACACAACTTGGGGACGACTCTTGTCTCATGTCTTACGCATATTGTAGTTGAGAGGGAATTACAGCCCATGGCAGTGTGACTGAAGAACCTCAGGCAGGCCCTTCTGGTAACTTGTAAGGCAGTTTCACTTTAGAGCTGCTCATTTTGTCATTCTCTATTTTGACTGCTCTCTCCTTATCTGCTTGAAGATGCTCGAAATGTCACTTAAGCTTCTTCCTGTAAATATTGTCACGCCACCCAGCTCACAGTACACTATTGTTGGACCAGCAATAAAACATTTCTCTCTGTAGATAATTTCTATTGCTGTTACTTCTCTGAGAACCATCTCCCCTTCTGTGATGGGTAGTGACATTACTCTTGTCCCTTGGAAACCTACCTTCTCACACTGACAGCTCCCGGTGTTTATAATTTCCAATGTAAAGGGTTTTCCTGAGGTGCTGCCTATTTCCAGGTTGTTCTTTTTTTAAGATTTTATTTATTTATTTGAGAGAGAGAGAGCACGAGCCAGGGGAGGGGCAGAGGGAGAGGGACTAGCAGACTCCCCGCTGAGCAGGGAGCCCGATGTGGGGCTCGATCCCAGGACCCCGAGATCATGACCTGAGCCAAAGGCAGATGTTTAGCTGACTGAGCCGCCCAGGTGTCCTCCAGGTTATTCTTGATCCAAATAGCGCCTTACTGAGGAACCGTGAGGACTAAGTAAACCAATGCGTGTAAAGTTGTTCACACTGCCTGGCCCAGCGTAAGTGTCCAGTAAGTGGCAGCTCCCACTGTTCATGGGTGGCTTCCCTGCTTGCGTGTGTTAGCACTGCGAGAGTCTATGAAAGGAGAGGTGAAGCAGGCCAGTTGGTTGGACCTATGAGAAGAACAAACCCTATCATGCAGAAAGATTATAGTAACTTCAAAGTCTAGTTTTGGAAAATCTCTTTAAATCTAACCAGTGCAAAATGGAAAACCCCTAAAGAACCAATCTAATTATTTAACTAAATGGAACCATTATGCTGACTTTTACTACAGAAGGCAAGCATAATTTAGAAAATGGGGCATTTTAATTCTCTTTTGTTTTCCAATTAACACAATTGCTCTAATAGAAGGTACTCGTGCTTGAGTATATATGTTCTTTGAGTACATATTTCATATATACTTTCAGTGTCTCTCTCTCTCTTTCTCTTTCTCACCAAAAAACAGAATCCTCACCTGTTGACATAGTGGTTCCTTTATTACATTGGTCAGGCTGCCCAGATTATGACCTCAGAGCAAATATCTTTTGCCATCAAAGTGCCCTGAACAGGCCCACAGCACAACTCTACGTTCCCTTCCGGCTATAATTAGGATGTTGAAGTAACAGAGCTCTCAGTTTTTTGCTGATGCCAGCTTACCACAGCAGACCACATGAATTTACTCTTAGTTGAAAGTAGTAAAGAAAATGCCAAGAACATTCATTTTAATTGGTCAACATTATATGGACCTTTAGTGCCACTGTTTTATGGTCCTGTGTTTTAGATTTCTTTCTGCCACCAGCCGTAAGCTTATTATGGTGGATATTCTTACTCGCATTTGATTATCCTTTTTATTATTATTTTGATTGTTAGGTGGTTGCTGATTATTGTTTGAAAACTTCCCTCCTCTTCTGCTTGTTGTTACCTTCCCTAGGTTAACAATTTCATGTGCCCTAATATTTACTAAATTACATATAAAAGACTGACATTTTCACATTGGTAAGGGATTATTTTCCCATCAGAGGGTCCCTGAGACGGGAGGGGATGGCAGAAATTTTTTTTTTCTTAGATGCTTGCTTTGATGTTGCTCTTTCATAGCCAAAAAAAGAAAATGGGTCATGTGGGTAGTGTGTGGTAGTGGTAGTAATGGGGGTGGGAACGGTGGTATACCATCGATTGTTTAATGTAAATAGACATGTTTTCTTCTGTACTGATGGGATTGATTTCCCCCTGGACTCCGGAAAATGTGTGATTTGTAGCTCTAACATGAAAGAGATGGCATAAAATAGGAGAGAATGGTAAAAAGAGAAACGTATGTGAACTCAACTATTCTTAAAGGCTCTGGGAGGACCCAGAAAGTTAGGCATTGATCTGAGTATAGGAAATGTGGTCCTTGTCTTTGGAGTTGACATCATGCCTAACTACGGACCGTCACAGTAGCATTTTAATTATGTACTATTGCTGCTGGTTTTGTAACGTGTGAGTAGTGGCTGAGGCCCCTCTCCAGGATCCAGCAATCCTCTTTCCTTGCCATGAAGCCCATCTCATGTAGGCCTATGACCGGAGCAGGAGCGAGTTGTTAATGACAGTCTTCTCTGTAGAGCTTTCCTTCTTTGGTCAAATTGAAGAGGTTCATAAATAACTAATAAAATGGGAACTTATTTCATGCAGAGAGACGATGTTGAAGAAGCAGTTATGAAGATCAAGAATAAGCTTGCCAAACTAGGATCAACTGACAAAACTAAAACAATTTAGTTACAAGTTTGGTGTCCTTTGTTCAAGGAAAACAATCCAGGAGTTGGGAGAGTATGGTACCTCACAAACAGTGGAGCACCATTTCTGAAGGATCTGGGGCAAGATCAGGTTTTATAGATCATTAGAAGGGGCAACACAAAGAGGGCATGGTTGTCTGGGGTTGCACACCTGACCTTATTTAGAAAGATCAAAGAACAAGAAAATAAGTGTAAAGCCCAGAGCTGGCTTGGTGTTTGGGGATTGGCTGACAGGAAGTACTGTGCTTCTGGTCAAGTGGCGCATTTACAGGGACTAGGAAGTTCAGTCTGCTGATGTGGCACCCTGGGCAAGAGCAGCTCCATGTTGGGTCTAGAAATTTATTTAAACACTAGAGGTTTTTTCTGTTTTGTTTTGTTTTCATTTTTTAAAAAAGATTCTATTTATTTATTTGACACACAGAGAGAGACAGCGAGAGAGGGAATGCAAGCAGGGGGAGTGGGAGAGGGAGAAGCAGGCTTCCCACCGAGCAGGGAGCCTGACTTGGGGCTTAATCCCAGAACCCTGGGATCATGACCTGAGCCGAAGGCAGACGCCCCTGTTTTCACTTTTTAATGAGTGGGGAATATGCAGATAAAAGAGAAATTTAAGTTCATTATAACAACTAGAAAACCTGAACAATTAAGGATTAAAAAACAAATTAGGGAGTGTGTGCAAAACAGAGTATTAATAGTTTATAGTGATATTGAAGTCCATCTATGTGAGTACAAAGTAGTCATTTAAAATTCTTCATTTAAGAAAAATGTTATATCTTTAAGTTAATTTGGAAGTCTTGTATTTTTTTAAAAACATTATTTAAGGATCAAATATCAGGGCTGAAAGAAAATAAATGAAAGTTCTTCCTAATTTTATGAAGTATTGATTTTCTGACTGAAATACCAACTATTTCTCTGTTACACTCTTAAGGGTAATTATGAGGCTGATGGTAATAATTACTCTCATTTATTGAATGTTTGCCCTAAGCTTGAGGTGGACAAACTATGGCCCATGGCCAAATCCGATCCGCCACCTGTTTTTGTAAATAAAGTTTTATTGGAACACAGCCACCCTCATTTGCTTATCTATTACTTACGGCTGCTTTCACACTACAAAAATAGAGTTGTCATTGCAACAGAGACTGTATGGCCCTGCAAAACCTACAATATTTATTATCTGGCCCTTTACTGAAAAAGTTTGTCAACCTCTGATTTAAGGTAAGCACTATTCTTTGTATACATTATGTTACTTAATTCTTACAACATCTCTAGGAAGTCAGTGTCTTATCCTTCTTCTTTTATAGATAATGAAATTGAGGCTTAAAGATGTTATTGCCTTGTGCAGGGACACCCAGTTAAGTGGAAGAGTCTGGACTTGAACCCATGAGGTCTGATTGTAGAGCCTGCACCTTCTCACTGAGTCCAATTTCTTTGCCATTAGGCTTTAGAGAGGTGGCATATCACGCTGGTTAACAGCAGGGAAGGCTCTGGAGCCAGATTGTTTGAATGCAAATGACCTTGGGCAACAAACGTCTTAACTTCTTTGTGCCTCAGAATATAAATGTCAGCACACCTTACTATTATTAACCTCTTGTTTTGTAAATGAGATCCTAAATCTCCAGAAATTCTTTTAAGTTTGCCAAAGACCTTAATTTACAAATGACAACAGCAGTACTCCAAAGGTAGATAGACCACACATACTTCAGAGGGATAATGGCTTTTGAAAGGTAAAATCCTGAGTCAAATGTTAAAATTTTTTTTCTTAATTTTAATTATCAGGTCCTTCATAGGCAGCAGTCTCAGCCAGCCAAGGAGAGTTCCCCCCCCAGAGAAGAAGCTCCTCCCCCACCTCCTCCGACGGAAGACAGTTGTGCCAAAAAGCCCCGGTCTCGCACAAAGATCTCCCTGGAAGCCCTGGGGATCCTCCAAAGCTTTATTCATGATGTGGGCCTGTACCCTGATCAGGAGGCGATCCACACGCTTTCTGCTCAGCTGGATCTCCCCAAACACACCATCATCAAGTTCTTCCAGAACCAGCGGTATCACGTGAAGCATCATGGGAAGCTCAAGGAACACCTGGGTTCCGCGGTGGATGTGGCCGAGTATAAGGACGAGGAGCTGCTGACGGAGTCCGAGGAGAATGACAGCGAGGAAGGCTCTGAGGAGATGTACAAAGTGGAGGCCGAGGAGGAAAATGCGGAAAAAAGCAAGGCTGCGCCTGCTGAAATTGACCAGAGATAATGTGAACTCCTACCAGGCAAAGCAATACATCGGTCCAAGGATTTTCTGTTTTAATTTCATTAAAAACATTTTTTTTTGCTTTATTTTATTTTTATCTTTTTTTTTTTTGGTCTGTTTTGTTTTTCTTACCTTTTTTGATGTTTCTTTGTTGCACAGGATACACCTATAGACTGAATAAGTTCAGTATTTCCGAATCAGACATCGCCTTGGCAAAGACACTAAAAGTGTTACACTTTTGCAATTGACTGGATCATAGTAATTATAATCACAGGAGACTCTGCCTTCATTATCCTTGCACTTATGGAAGAGACATCAGGCAAGTTCCAGGATGAAAAGATCTACAAAACAAATGAAGGAAGCTACAAGTGTGTGTGTATATGTATATGTATATATCTATATATTTACATATATATATTAAATTGCATGGGACAGAGAACTTTACAACCCGAAAGAATAGACTGTGAAATGAGTTCTTAAAGAAGAGACTTGTTTATGTATTAAAAAAAAAAAAAAAAAAAAAACCACTTCACAGTGAGTCGCTTTGGCTTTTTGATAAACTGCGGCCTGCTCTCAGGGTGGGGTGACTATTTTTGAATTCCTATTTATTTTCTGTGTTTGTCCCTGATTTTTTTTTTTTTAATTCTATGGCTTCCTATCTGGCAGCTTGATGGGTAATTTTTGAGGTATGTATTTAACAAAATAAATCAACACTGCCAAAAAGAAAGAAGAAAGTAAAGTGGAAAAAAAATCAGGGCACCTTAAAATGATATAAGTCAAATTGCTCTTAAGACACAATGCACACTTAAAATGGCTCGATATGTTCCGTTATTCAACTTGTCATTCCTGTAGTGAACAGATGCATTTCTGTGGAATTCCAAATGAATAAAACTGTAATTCAGTACAGAGAAAACTTGTCCTTTAAGTGCAGTCTTGATCAAATGACATTTTGATGTTGGACGTATGGAATTCATAGTCTGAGCCACGTTTTATTGTGAAACTTATTTACCTGTTCGTGGCTTCAAATCTTAAAATTAATAAGCCTGCTCATTTGAAAGTTGTTTGTTGTTGCTGTTTTCTCTTTTTTCTTTCTTTTTTTTTTTTTTTAAATAGAAAATAGTTCAATGTAATGTTAAGTTAGAAGTTGCTGCCCAGTTAAAGGGGTTCCCTCTCAAATAAATCTCCATCCTTCCGTCTCCCAAAAGATGTTTCTTATTTCTGTTTCACTTGGGGCTTCCTCCTCTTCGTACACATTCCATCCACCTAACCCAACGTTTGTGGTCCCTGCTCTCATGCCTCATCCTTTCCCTGGTATGGCAGCCTGAACAAGAACCTGTTTTTGAATCATTGTGCAGCTCCAGGCAATAGAGTAAGCAAAGCGATTTCAGTGGAATCACGTACTCATCATAAATGGAAACATCTTCTCAGTTACCTACATAGCAGTTACCTTACGTAAAGCAGAACTAATGCCGACTGGCTGTTTAGTGGAATGAGCATTAAAGCTGCAATCTACTATAGCTCTCCAAACCTCCTGTAGCTTCCTCTCAGAAGCACCAGTAGCATTACTTCCCACTTCTACTTAGAGTAATTGCAAGAGGTGACCTCACCTTCAGGACCTAATCCCTGCTTCAACGTGACCATCAAACAGTCCCACACGGTTGGATTTTTTTTTTGGAGTCATGCTCTCATGCAACCTTGTCAAAGACCTCATGCAATATCACTTTGAAAGTTATTTTCTGTTTACTACACAAACATTGTAATATAACTGTTAATACTATTTATATATTTGAAAGGTATAAAAGGTAGGAGTTAAAAAAAAAAAACCTCTATGTGTAGATATTAACTCAGAACTTACAATATACAGGGAGAAGACATGTTGCAATACAAGCTAATTCTAGCTGCTCAGTAACCTCTGGAGTTTTTAAAGGGACATTTTCCTGTACTTTTTCAAGTAATGATGTTGAAAAAATTCTCTTGACACGAGCGTCACATACCTTTGCAAAAGGATGGTGGTTTGCAGTTAAGCCCTGGGCCCGTCCTTCTGCTTCTGTAGTATGCTGCAGCTTTAATCCGAAAGTCCACGCTTGCTGCTTCCTGATCTCCGAGTTACTCTTTCCAAATTGTCTTCTTACACTGTTGCTGAAGGTCACTCTGTACATGTAATGGAAACTGATTTTGCCAAGCTCTTACAAGGTGGTTCATCTATCGATGGCATCCGCATTTGGTATCTTTTACACTTCAACCAAAAATTTATTAGGTATTTTTCAATGCTAAGTCTTGCCTTTTATTTTTTAATTTCACTGCCAAGTTTGCAGTGATTCTAAGTGAATCTGTGGGCATTTTAGCCTGTGGTCTTGCCAGATCTTTGCGAATTACAATGCATATATGTCTATTTATTCAATATCTGTCATATAATATCTATTTGGAAGAAGAAACTTTCTCTTGTAGTGCCTCTTGACAAAGCACAATTTCCCGCCTTTTTTTTTCTTTTTTTTGTGAAATGAAAAAACAAATTGTGTTTTATTGCGGTATCAACAATGTGAATAAGGATTAACATATTGTAAATGTTCTTTTTTCCATGTAAATCAACTATCTTTGTTATCACTAAGTGATAATTAATTTTTAACTTATGTGCATTGTTAGGCTGTTAGAATTTTTTGGTTGTTAAAATAAAACGCATTCAATAAACATGACTTTGTTTGTCATGTATTTTACTGGGCATTGCCTTCTGTCCCATTTAACTTTGCATGTGGAGTGAGACCTGGTGAGTGTCAGAAAAACCCACTCCCTTATTTTAGAAGTAAGGGAGCAGCACCCGCAATTACAGATGTTTGAGCCCTGTACTAGGTATGGAGTTAATTGTACATGTGAATGCGTGTACATCTCTGTGTGTTTAGAAATGCACGCATGCTCACATTATGGAGCTGGCAACGGGGAAAGCCATTGCGCCAAACATTTTGTCGTATACAAACAAAACTCAAATGTATAAAGACATATTTGTGGGCTTGCTTCTTTATTTTTCTAGTGAATATTTTCTGTTTATAATTAAAAACCCACAAATGACTGCGTGTCAGGAAACTTTTGGAGCACATATGTCCATGGTTAATGGACATAATAAAAGTCTTTTATATTTAGAGCTGGGGTACCATAATGTGTGCATAGAGGAATGCCGGAAGGATTGATGTATCTGAGAAATGTGCGAAAATGATTTTTTAGAAAGTGCTTACAATGGAAAAAATTGCTCAAAAGACTCAATAAGGAAGGAGCAAGTGCTTAGCTTTAGAACCGGCAAAGTGAAAGTCAATTAAAAAGTGATTTTATTTTCTTTTGATACTGTAAATTGTCTTTTGTGCGCACAATTTGTGTGTGTGTGTGTGTGTGTGTGTGTGTGTTTTGCATTTGGTTGACATACAGATGTGATTTTTCTTTCCTTTCTTCCTTAGTTTCACTTGCCTTTTTTTTTTTAGTTAACAGCTCACAGACCATGTGGAGAGGTTTTAAGGACAGTTTGTGAATACTGGGTATTTGCAGAAAAGCAGACAACCCCAAAGCACAGAGGTCTGAGGGTTTTTAAAGAAAAAGTGGAGATTCCATACAAAGCAAAACACATTATTTATGCAAATGTAAATGAGTTCTGCGTTTGGGATAAAGACTTGGAAGGAACGCATGTGTAAGATAACTGACTTCTAGCACAAGTAACTTGTACACGCATGAGGTGTTTTTAGGGGTCCACCGTCATCATAGGTGACAAACTTGAGAGTGGGAGGCTCCGCCCACAAATGGATTGGCTTCTGCCAGAAGGCAGTCTCTGTTCGAGCAACTTCTCTTTCCAAGAAAGAGTACGAGTTTTCTTGACTCTATATGTTAAGTCATATTATAGCATCTGAGAGCCATCACTCCATCGGTTGAGTTTTTGTCTTTTTAAAATTTTTCTTAGAGGAGATCTTTTCCTTTACACTGTTATTTCCCTTTCTATAAAGGTTTAAATAAAGATTTAAAAGTCCCTACATTATTTCTAAAGGCCCATCATGGCACAATGAGACAGTAAACATTTATTTAAAATGTACTGTATGTCAGATAATTTGCTAGGAACTGAGGTGACAAGGGAAAATACATGACTTGATGTTCTCCTCTCAAGGAGCTTATAACTTGTTGGAAAGGTTTAATATAAGTCCAGGAAAAGTGAAATAGTCATACAGTGGTTGTCTCCAGACAGAGATTTATTTGTTTAGTGAATGGTACAAACATGTGCTATGAATTTGGAGAAGGAAATGATAATTATTTGTGAGCTGGAGTGGTCTTGAAAGGTGGATCACTTAGGATTGGCTGCATATAATGGGGGGGGTAATTATGATGCAGACAAGGTAAAAATTTACCTGTTTCTTACAAGAAAGAAATTGCTGAGGTAAGCTGGCTTCATGAAGTTGTCAGGGACTCACGTACTCCCAGCTTCACTTTTCCTGGTGTTCCCATGTTCCTTCTTTCTCATGGTCCAAAAAGATTGCTAGAGCTCTCACCATCACATCCACCTTCCAGACATCGAGATGGAAGGAGAAGTAAAGAATGGCATACTCCTTTTGTGGAGACTCCTTCAAGCCCTACACCTGAATGCAAGGGAGATTAGTAAGTGTTTCTAGCTGTTTTATTAATTCCAGAGACAAGGAGGGATGTGGATATTGGGTAGGCACCTAACAGCCTCTGCCACAGAGGATATCGGGAAAGATGTTGAACATAACTGATAGGAAGAAGATAAGTGAAAGGCGCATTCGCTCGGCGGTTACTCCCTGTACCTCGCACCTCCTCCTCCTGACCACCCAGAGTTCTTTCCCTGGTCAAATTTAAGGATCAGCCCAAGCAACACTTCTTCCAGGAAGCCCTTCTTGATCTGCTGTGCCAGTGTGCTTACAAATTCTTCTATGCTCACACAGTGCCCGAGTATCCCGCCGTCAAAGGACTGTCACAGGACTTGTGGCACATTGTGGTTGCTGTGGTTGCTTGCTGGGAAGGTGTGGAGTCTTTCTTTGCATCCATGCATGCAGGGGACAGGGGTAGGCAGGGGGAGGTGACACAGGTCCCGTGGAGAGAGATGTGAC